GGACATACGTCTATGCTTGTAGTCCAATACCAAGCCACTCTGGTAAGGCGCAACGGTTACAGCTTTGTCGGTCCATGTGGTTGACAGAACAATGTGCGGGTTCTCGATCTTAATGTTGTGACTCATCTCAACCTTCAGCCCGGCAGCCGCACCCAGAGTCTCAGGTATGATGAGGCCTGTTACACTGCTGTTGGTCACGTTCCGCAAGGACACGGCAGTTGCAGACATAGACATATTTTGATAGACGCTTCTGGGATCGGTCTGTCAGCAGCCTGTTACACTTCGAGGCGATTGGCGTTTCGAATCTCAAGTCGTGCAGCAGAGCCCCACAAAATAAGATCTTGGATTGTGGTCTCAGCAAGACGGGCGTTGTCGTTAGCGCCGACGAGGACCATGCCCCCACCGTTGAATCTGGTGCACTGTGTGGCTTGGCCCAGGCGTACATGGCTCAAAGTTGCAGCACCCAAGAGGGCGATGGATTCATTTTTGATGGCATCACAATCCAGTCTGGAAAAAACGCGGGCAGCAGCTCCATATTGATGAGGCTCAACCACAATGTCTCGCCCCAGGGGCTCACCCTGATCGCAGGAACCATGTATTGCGCTATCTGTCATGGAAAACGACTCGGCCCCGCGGTTCAGCCACCACCAATGAAAACCCGAAGGGCAGGTAATTGACGGCAAGTGTAGTGCCTGAGTTGTTGGCAAGGAGGATGTTGGCAAGCTGACAAGAGCCTCCGCGCACGCGGATCATGGTCGTTGGCTCGTACATGTTGTTGTTGAAGGTGGCATTGCGCACTGTGACGTTTTGCCCAAAGGTCTCGAGGCCAACGGTGGCTTGAAGCCTTAAAGCAAACCGGTCAGAGCCCTGGAGGAGGGTGTTCCTGCTGGTGTGGTGAATGTAGACGGCAAGCGCCATGTTAAGCCCGACATTATCAGAGAAATGGCCAAAGACGGAATCCTCTAGCAGGGTGTTGGTTCCAGAAATGTTGAGGCCATACCCTCCCAATTGCGCCAAGG